CTTGATATGCTTCCTATATATATATATATATATATATTCTTTCTAATTTGCTTCCTCATAAATTGTTCAACTATCATAATTAAAAGTAATGTATTTATCGAGAAAATTGAATTATTTTAGTAAAATCAAATAAAAGTGATACATTTATTATTATTATTAATTCAAATGTAAAAAACTTTAAACTATAATCATTTTGGGACAACAAAGTATTATAAGATAAAATATACTAAAATTATAAATGTATAAATCAAATTCATTAACTATAAAATGGGATGGATCAAATATGTGATTTTTAATAAATTTTGTTCAATAATAAAAATAGGGCAAAATAAGTTTCTATTCCATTTAAAATTTAATGTTTTTTAGTCCCTCAATTTTTTGTTATGTATTTAGGTCTTTCTAATTTAAAAATGCAACACTTTTAGTCCTTAAAAATAGTTTAACATTTTTATAACTCTCTTTAACTACTATTTTAACAATTTTGAAAAAAAATAATAAATTTTCAAATTAGCGAGACTAAAATAGTTAAAAAAGTTTTAGCACACTAAATTTCAAAAGTTATAAAGTGATTCAAAATTATTTTCCCTAAACAATACATTGTTTAAAAAAATATATTAAATAGATTATTACAAATACTTTCTTCGAATAAATTTAGTTAATCATATATTCAAGAAAGTTTATAACAATATATAATGATGATATATAAAGTGTTTTGATGTATATAATTCAATACGACTATTCTATCTTTGATTTATTAAACTAATCGCATAAAGTATTCTTTTGATGTAGAGTAATATAGTATCTTTTATTTATTATATTAAAAATAATTAGTTAAGATAAAATTGTTTCAAAACTTTACAATCACATACAACTCCATCAGTTTGATCTTTGTGTCTTTCTATATTTATTTTTTAAAAAATATTTTTCAAAGAAAAAAGATGAAAAATAAAATTGCATACAACTAAGGAGTAATAATGATTAATAGGGTAATTCGTGCGATTTCATTTAATTTATAACATTTATACTTATATATGTTTTTTTTATTATTTTGACGTATATAATATTTTTAAAATTTTAATTTTATAAAAACTGAATAATAATAATAATAATAATTAATAAATATTACAGAAGTCTTTTGGTTTAAAAGTTTTATTTTTGAAATTATTATTCAATAACAATAATTTAAAAGAACATATTAGAGAGTATGTTGTTAGCATTTCTCAAGTACTTCTTTCTATCTTTATTATAAGACACTTTTAATGGAATCGCACAAGTGAATATAAATAATTATATTAGTTGATTTTATTAAATTTATAAAATAAAATCATGATTTATCAAATTTATCCTTTTTACTTATCATTAGTTTTTTTTGTATGGTGAAAATATCACCTATATCAAAACTTATGCACCAATACCAACAAAAATGATAAATGTCAATTGAAGAGAGTTTAAGAAATGAGAAATGAAAGTATAAATTTTCACGATCTTTAATAGGAGTAAATAAAAAAAATTAATATTTTTTTGGAAATTATAAGATGTCTTATCAAAAAAGACAACAATTTCCTCTCAATTATGTCTTATAATAAGGACTAAATGAAGTAATTAATTTCACTTGGAATGTGTAAAACATCAAAAAAAAAAGAAATTGATAGAAGGAAAAGTCTAAAATATAAAATTATGATTCAAATGGAGTATTATTATTTTTTTTTTCTGTAAATATGATTCACAGTATTTCAAAGTGTTTAAATAAAAACTAATTTATACTCACTAAATATGACTTATTTTAGTCACCCATTATTTTAACATTGATGCAAATCAATTTTGAAAGTACAAAATTGACCGTCTATCCCAAGATACTTTTTTGGGATTTATTTTTTCTTGATTAAAGTATTTCTTTAATTTCTATAGTTTCACTTATTTTATTTTTCATTTTTTATAGTTTAAAATAGATATTTTTAGTCCATATATTTATCTTTTTTAATCCTATTTAGTATTTATAACTCAAAACATTTTTTAGTCTTTACACTTATAATTTTTTTTAATTTTTTTAGTTTCTGTCATTATTTTTTTTTTGTAAAGTTGTCTATTTTATATTGACATGACATATATATTAATTCAATTTTGTACATCTGATGTTAAATTTATTTTTATTAAAATTACTTTAAATTAGGTCTTTTGACATTCTTTGTATTTTTTTTATACTCTTACTCGCAACACTTATTGTTGAAACATCATTTTTCTAACATTACAAAATTAAAAACTTCTACCATGTCAACACAATATAAACAACGTTACAAAATTAACGATAAATATAAAAAGGATTACAAAACTATAAATATAAAGACTAAAAAAATCTATTTTAAATTATAAAAACTAAAAAAAAAAGTCAAATAAAATAGATAAAAAAACTATAAAAAAAATATATTTTAAATCATAAAAATTAAAATATAAAATAAATAAAAGTATACGAAATTTAAAAAAAATATTTAAAGAACAATAAAGGCATTAACTATTATTAATTAAAATTCTTTAAAAATAATGTATTCATTGCATTAATCATTTAATGAAGAGTCTCTTATTCTAATTATAAAAACAGACTGTCGCTTATTGTCTTTCAAATCAAACATTAGAACCAAACAAACAAACCCATTCCAACCATGCCACCCCCCAAGCGCAAGTCCAACCAAGTCAAGCCACCGTCGTCGCCGGTGCCGGCGCCGATGAGAGTGACTCGTGCGGCGGCGAAGCGCGCGGCGGAAGCAGCGGACGCGGAGGCTCCGGCAGCCGTGAAAGAGAAGAAGGCTAAGAAGCAGAAAAAGGGAAAAGAAAACGCTGCTGTGGTTCAGAGTGAGAACAAGGTTCTAGATGCTTCCAACAACAAGACTATCGTTGTTGAACACTGGTGCGTGGTTTATTAGAGTGTATTTTTTTTTCTAATTTTATTTAATGTGATAGTATTGTTGAGCACTTGGAAGTGGTTAATGAGTATTGTTTTTGTTGCTGTTATTACTTGGTTCATTTGTCCAGTGTGAAGGTTTTTTGTGTGGGAAATTATTTTCGTTGTTGATTGTTGGTGTTTTTCTATCTAATATATTGGATGTGCTTATATGTGCAGTAAGCAGTGTAACCAGTTCAAGATGAGGGCCAATCTGGTGAAAGAGGGTCTAGAGAAGGCAGGTTGTGGAATCAGTGTGATACTGAACCCTGAAAAGGTGTCTAAGATTACTATTGGTTGTCTTGTTGTTTCACTAAGCTTTTTTGGATGTCTTTTGGATTCTTGGTCTATTTTTGAAATAATTATTTTAAAATATACAGTTATTTTTTTGGACAAAACTTAGGTATGGTATCAGAGTTGGGGTTTCACCTTAGTAATTTGTGTGAGTGTGTGTATTACTGAGGTCTGAAAAACGAAATGTATCTTTGTTTTTTAAACAATGTTTTAAATTGCAGCCACATTTGCCGTTGCAGTAGTTTTTAAGCAATGAAATGAAATGCAATGTGACTTAGTTTGCATTCAATTTTACAAGATATTTTGGACAAATGCAGGCTGCCATTGCGATTGCAGAGATCTGAAAAACCAAGAGGATTGTGAACTGTTTTTGAAAACTTATTTTTAAGGAAATGGGACACTCATAGTGTATGAAAGTCACTTCCAATTTGAGCAAGACCGGTTTTGAGAACTTTCCTGATTTAAATTTGATGTAGAGTATTATTCTGTGTACTTAAAGTTCAGGGTCATTTTAAGACTTTTGAACAATGAGGATGATTATTGAGTTTCAAATGATATATTATTTGATTAATCTTTATTGTCTAATATGTAATTTGTTATAGATTAAATGGTCCTACTATGACTTATCTGTTTTTTAATCAATGAACAGCCAAGGAGAGGTTGCTTTGAAATTCGACAAGAAGAGGGGAAGAAGTTCATCACACTCTTGGTAACGAGCTATAAATTAGTGTGCTAAATTGTTGATTACCTGTGTGAGCTATATATGGAATTTTGTTTTAAACCATTGGCCTCCAACATAAGTTATTGGATATAATTTTGTTTAATGGGAAGATATATTTTTTCATATGAAAATGATTTTAAAATACAAAAAGAGAACAATTTCTATATATTTGCCATCTGAAACAAAGAATGTGATTTGCATACTATATTTTTGTTTCAGAACATGAAGCGCCCGTTTAAACCAATGAGGGATCTAGACATGGACAAGGTCATCTCGGATATCATTGATGAGATGTCAAAGAATTGACCTCAATTGTTTCAGAAGTGCTTTGTTGGCTTGACTTGCAATTAAGCTAGATAAATTGTTCTAATGGTAGAGATCCTAGAATGGAATTCTGTTTACAATTTGTTAACTAGTTATGTATGGTTTCCTGTTTGAGGTGATGTAATTTGTAAGGCTAGACAATCATTTTGGTTATGTTTACTGTTGGATGAGTACCAATAGGTTTTATTTTGTATCTGAATTAGACCCAAGTTTCATTGGTGTTTTGAGAATGAATTTAAACAGTGTTTTTGGATAGGTCAGTTTTACAGTGTAATTCATATTTTTAATGAAATTAAAAGTAAGTCTTTTAGAAAGAAATTAAAATTGTATCATTTTCACAAAGACTTTAATTAACTTAGACTTTAGAATTTGAAATTCTACTAGAATTTCAAATTCTTTGACATTGACCCTTGCTCGCTACCCCCACTCTCACTTTGCTCATTATCTCTCTCTACTTGGTCTCTCTCCATTCAAAGAAATGCTCTCTTTGGTGATTCATACCAGGTTCTTCTATGTGATCTAGGTTTTCATCTTTGATTTTGTTAATTTGTGTTTAGGGTTTGATTTTATTAATTTCGTTTTTAATCTAATGTTTCATTTTTGATTTCATGTTTGATTTCACTACTCTTAAATTGATTAGCTTTGTTGGCAGTGACTGTCTATATGCATTTGAGTGGCTTGAAAATTTGAAAATATAATGAATTTTGTGTTGCAAATTTAAAATGATTAATGTGCTTATATTTCTGTAATTGACCCTGATATAAGACTAATGAATGTAGGCCTTGAATGTCGTTGATAGAGCAATAATTTGAAGTTGTGTGATAATTCTTGATCTTATAGTGAAGGGGGATGGCTACCTTCTTCAGTTTGGATACTCCCTTTCTTGTAGCCATGAAAATGTTTATTGATGACAGCATAGCTAGGATATAACTATATAAACCATCTAGTCTTTTTGAAATTGTTGGTTGATGATTATGGGATGAGGACAAGGGCCAAGACACAACTTTCATTAGATGTGTAATAGGAAAATCTGAACCTGAAACCTATTCTGTTATTGTATTATCAAGACCACCCCTTTGGGTTTCTCTTGGTCAAAAAGAAAGTAAGAGTTGTTTGGCTATCCAATTGCAATATGGTCTCGATCTTTATCTTTAACTGGAGAATGTGGAAGTCAATTTTGAAACAGGGTTGGATAATTAGATTAGATCGACGATTTGTTTGAGTGATATCTACTTTTTAGGGTATAATATTTCCATTTAATTGTTGTGGGCGGAAGGTGTTTTAAAACTATTGAAAATCTATTACATTATTGGATGCAATTTAGGAAAAAATCCAATTTAAATTTTGAACCAGAGGTGGTGTTAATGCTTTTTTGGTAGTTTAGGAGTTTATGATTGGGAAGGTAGTTCAAGAATATTGCTGGTTGGGTTTGAATGTGAAAATAAAATACGCATGACTTTGCTGTTATGGCTTTCAATGTATGGGTTGAAGGTTTTCTGTCTAGTGAAAAAGATGATGAAAAAAACACACTTCTACATTGCTAACATTTTATTCTCAAATATATCAAAATGAAGAGTAGCTGATAGTAATAGTGACTTAGTGAGTAGAATAAGTATAAGAGTGAGTGTTGTTTATACATACATTTTGATGTTCCAATGGACTGTTACACCTATGTTTTCATTGAAAAATATTGGGAAAAAAAATCAAAGTTTCACATTGATTAGAATTTAAGGTAAAAATAAAGTGTACTAGTGAGAAGTGATTTAAAAACCGGACCGAACCGGCGTATCGGACCGGTTGGACCGGGAACTGGTGGTCCAGCTGGTCCGAATTTTAAGTTGGATCGGTTATGCAATCGACCCGTTTCAAACCGGATTGAACCAGTCAATTTTTTGGTTCAACCGGTGAACCGGCAGGTCAAACCGGTTCAACCATTTTTTTTTTTCTTTTTTTTTTTAATTTTTTTTAAGGGACCATAAACTACAAAAAATAATAATGAAAATTGAATCTCTTTATGGAAAAGTAAGGAGTCTTATTAAATATAACAATGACTACTTATTCTAATATATTTGTTTGCAATATATACAACTTAAATAACTTTTATAGTATATTATTAATTTTAAATTATATATTTAATAATATAATATCTATGTAAATATTACATATATTATCTTGTGATATTAATTGCAAGCATATTATATATGTACATATTATTTGTATTTTTAATTTGTATTAATATATCGTTTAACATATAATTTTTTATGTATTTTTTTACAAAATAAAAATAAATATAATTTTAAATAAGATAGAAAAATTGAAATTTAAAATAAGATATGAATTTATTAAAATTTATAAGTATAAAATATATTTAATATGAATATTTTTTTAATAAAAATAAATAAAAACCGAGTCATGCGGTTCAACTAATGACCCACCGGTTCTACCTATGACCCACTGACCCAGTACCTTAACCGGTTCGATGACCGGTCCGATTTTTAAAACTATG